TATCCACACACACACACACACACACACACACACACACACACACACACACACACTTCTTCATCTCTTTTGACGTTCTGTATTGTGTGCATGTGCTTTGATTTTCTAAAACAAAACTTGAATGCTTTGCTATTTTTTATGTCCCAAGGTTTTCAGTGGACTTAAGACTCTAGCAACATATGATGAGAAGTGCAAAAGTGCAGAGGAGATTCAAACCTCGGAACAAATGGTACGTACTGTAAGTCGCTTACCTTATTACTTGCCATTGATTTGAAGAGTAAACGACCAAAGCTGCTAGAATCTGGATCATGTGAAAAATCTCAAAAATTTTTGCAAGTTTTGTGTTTTTGTGGACATTTTTGCTCATGAATTAACTCTTAGTGTACGGAAAATTATTCCACCTTTGAACGCAGCCTATTTTGTCATCCAGTTTTTCAGCATCACAAAGTTACCCATAACTCCGCTTCTGTTTAACCTATTTGCATAAAATGAACTCCAAACTGAGAAGAAACGAATGATCCTTGTAATAAGCAAATAATTTTGTTATAGACAAGATGGAATTGCTTGGGGGGTGGAGGGGGGGATCCTTTTATTTTTCATGTCCGGGTGTCTTATTTTAAACAAATTTGTCTTGGTTCAAAACTTAGCCTTCTGTTTGATGGTATCCAATGTATGAGAAATTTTTGGTGATGAAAAATATCGAGGGAAATTGAATGGAATGAGGTTTCTGCTTTGACAGTGGATGGCTGTCTTGGACAAGAGTGACTGTATGTCGTAGTAACTTGCATTGTTGAACCCAAACTTTTTTTTATCCAGAATTAAACATTTTTATTGACCCAGTCCTGTTGAAACATGCTAAGAGGAAAGAAAATGGAATGGAAAGGGGGGGGGGGGGAAACGATCAATTGCTGCATGGCAAACAGTCTACGGTAGGAACTGTCCTAATTTTGTTCACATATTTTTGTTTTCTTTCCACAGGCTTTGTACCTTGAGCCTCGTCTTCTGGGTGTCCTGGCGTTCTTCGACACACAGCTCATGAACTCCAACATCACCATGGGGGACAAAGAACTGGTGCGTGGCTACTAGATGCCAACATTATATACTGCCCTAAGCTGACAAAACATCTTTTTTCATTTTTGGTGCCAAATTTATTTTTTTTGCTGAATCGATAGCCTGATCAGTTACCCTCTTTGTGAGAAAAAACAATTTGAAACTGTAAATAGTTTTTGAATAAATTAGAATTCAAATTTCCAAAGAATGCCTTTTTTTTTTAAAGGTTACACTGACTAAACGATTTTTTCACTGGAAACTGCTGTGAATAAGAAAAGGCGTTTTGTTAGTTTATGACAGTATACAACAAGATGGTTCAGCCTTCATAAGATACAAAAATAAGTTCTGAATTAATGCCAATGTGGCATTGATATTACTTTGTGTTTGATACTATTTTGAGGGAGTGACATGTCTTGTTTGCTGGTTGTGGGTCCAAAGATTATTTAAGAAATGATGTTTTAAAAGTGTGGCAGTTGTTAGGCTCTTTGCCTTTGCTTACAAAAGATGTGAATTTTATCTTTTATCGCCTCATTGATATGAATAGTGTCAGTAGTGTTGTAAAGCAGCTGCAGTAAGCTATTTGTGGTTGACTTGCAGTCTATTGAGTGTGTGCAGAGAGTCCCTTACACTTGATTCTGTTTGTCTGTTGGCAGGCTTTGAAGAGTGTGATCTCCATCATACAACTGATGGGATCGAAGCACATCAGCACCATCAGACACAAAGTTATGAACACGCTCAGGTGAGTTGTACAGAAGTGAATAAAATTCCACTTTAACTAACTGATTCCAGTAGGACGTTTGGTTTGCTTTAGCATACATATTTTTTTACATACATACATACATACATACATACATATGAATATACTTACACTCATACTTGAGGCTCACAACGAATTATTATATTGTCGTACACATGCATTTTTTCTGAATCATACCTCCACACTGACAAAAATATGCTATGATCCATTGACAAACTTCTTCTCTCCTTTATTTGGCTAAATCTAAATGCAAATATAATGGAGACTCCTTAAACTGAACTTATTTAATCCGAAATTGGCCGTAAACTGGAAAAAAAGTTAAATCCGTAATTTTTAAAAGCTCTATTTGAGCAACTTCTCATAGAAGTCCCGCCTAACCAAAGAAGAACTGGGGGTCCCACAGATCTTGCTGTATAATGGTGAGGTGATAGGGAGGGAGATAGTTCTGTGACAGAGTTCTGGTAGTTTTCAGTCTTTTGGGTTTTGACAACTTTATCCCCTGAGAATAGAATGTTCTCGCTTCCAAAAGGTGCAGGGTTTTGTAAAGCCATGTGTGTTTGTTCGCAAAAGAAGAGGATGTATGATTTCAAATATTTCCTTGAAGTGAAAGCAACATCTGCATTTTGAGACAGGCAGTGACGCAAAGCAGCCTGCTATCTAAATGGTCTAAATCATGTTGAATCGAGTTTAAAATATTTACAGTCTTAGTGTTAGTATGTCAGGCTTTTTATATTTAGTTAAACTACAGTTGTTGTTCACTGAAGTGAATGTTTGTTTCAGTCAATGGAATAGAAATAGTGCTGTAATCACCTTGACAGTCAATAAAGAATACCCCAGAAAACAATAAATCACCTCTTTTTTATATTTGAAATAAAAGCGAATTAATTGGGTAACCACTACCATGCTTGAAGTCATCTGTTCTTTGTGTTTGAAATAAAAGTGCATTACGAATGAGTGGGTGACTACTTTCTTACACAGTCTTCATTTTTGTTGTAACACAGACTCGCAGTTGATAAATGTTGTTGCTGTTTTAAAAAAAATATAAATCTTCAGGCTTGGACTGCAGTTCACTGAGAAGCCGTTCACGGAAATTTCTTGCAAGGCCTGGAACTGTTTTGTGAGGAGGTACGTTGCTGTTGTGTTGTTGTTGCTGTGTTGTTTTTTGTTGTTTTTGTTGTGTTGTCTCAATGTTGTTGTCTCGTTGTTGTATCATTGTTGTCCTTTCCCAAGGACACAATGTTGGGCTCCCAGATGGGATTCGAACCCATAAACCTAACGCTTGAAAGTCCGAGAACCTAACAATGAACCACTGATACAACATTATTTGGACAGTAAGTATTTATCACACTCTAGCAACAGCTGTTCTTGAGGACAGACTGGTGGGAGGTTGAAGGGTACCATAGGCTGGTCCTAATACTTTTCTTTCCCTTTTCTTCTTTCAGTTTGTATGTCTAACTAACTTCGGTACTTATATGACCTGTTTGTGTTGCAAGTGCCTTAAAAAACTCTTACTATAACTTACATAATACTTGGTTATTGTGTAGACTTGCTACTCATTACTCAAACTTACTTTTCAAAACTCAACTAAGGTTTGTTTTGTTTTTTCCCCCCTTTCCAGTCTGGAGCTGCCTCTGCTGGGTGTGATGATGTCACAGATCATAGCCACGCTGTTGCCGCTGCTGCAGTGTCTACCGGAGCAAGTGGCTCAGATCTTTGACTACATGATAGTGGAGAACAGGTGAAGAAACTCTGAAGGGAGCATAACTTTGGTATTCCTACAGATTTTCTAGTTCTGTTTTTTATTTTTGAATCTTAAAATGGCTGGTGGCAATATTCATACTGTGCACTGTCTGCTTTCCAGGAATTTGAGATTGTTTGAGAATACTATCAGGTCTCCTGGGGTAATAGTATAGATTATAAAGCGCATAGAACTTGCTGGTGAGTGAGAATTAGCGCTTTACAAATGCTATCTATTATTACTGTGAAACATGCAAATTTGAGTTTCTGATTTGGAATGTGACATAACTTTGCTTTTGGTATGATGATGGAATTTTGTCTTCTGTGTTCTAAATAGTTAGTTTCTGTTGTTGTGGAAGGGAGGGTATTTTTTTTACCACCTTGTTTTTCAGGGGGGGGGGGGGGTTGTGTTGTCATGAAATTAGTTTGTTGATATTTCCTAAGTCTTCCTTAAGAGGATGGTAGAATATAGTTGAAAACCTTGCCTCTGTTTGTTCTGTCTAATTATTGTTAAGATAGTTTCTATTGTTGTTGAAAGGGGTATTCGTGTTGTTGTTTTTTTTCACTTGAACAAGTGGCTCAAATCTAGAACAACATGAAAATTGCAAGTAGGTGAAGCTTTTTCTCATTTTTTGTTGTTGTGGTGGGATGTTTTTTAAATTTTTTGAGGTAAATTTGTATTGTTGTTTGCTGAGCGGGTAGTTGGAGGTCCTGCTTGGGGAAGGGGTGTAATGTACTTTTTCCTGATTTAGAAAATGTTCTTCCTCAGAGCTGTGCTGAGCAAACATTTCCATGAGATCTACTTCCTTCCAGACATTCCGGAGTTAACAGACGCAAAGAAGGTCCTGACACAGCATGGGGACAGCTTTGAGAGGTGATGGGAATGCCAAAGGACATGCTGTCTGTCTGCCTGTCTGTCTGCTTGTCTGTAAAAGATTTTTTACAGGCTTCTTTTTTTTTTTTTTTGTGGGACCTTTTAATGTATTGTCTGTTCATATCTTATTATCTGTCTGTCTGTCTGTGTATCTGCTTGTCTGTAAAAGTTGTTTTTTTTCAAGTTGCTTTTGTGAGGGAGATGCTTTATTGTCTGTCTGTTTATGTCTTATTATATCTGTCTGCTTGTCTGTATCAGATTCTTTTTACAGGCTGCTTTTGGGTATTGAATATTTTAATGTCTGCTTGTGTATTTGTCTTATTATTTGTTTGTCTGCTTGTATGTATCAGATCTTTTACTAGCTTCTTTCATGTGCATGACATTTTAATGTCTGATGTATTTGTCTTAGCTGTCTGTCTGTTTGTCTTATTCAGAGTTTACACAAGCTACTGCTATGTGAGACTTTATTTTGTTATCTTTCTGTTTGTTTATCTTGTCCAGATTTCTTGTAAGCTTTTAATGTGAAGACTGGCGTCTGTGGTGTAGTAATCAGGCTCTTTGCCTTTATATGGAGAAGATGTTGGTTTGATTCCCACTATGGAACTTGTGTCAGGTATCTCAGTCTGTCTGCTGGCATGATGTGACCCACTCAACCCTGACTGTTCTTTTACAGGAAAAATTGAAGTGGCCTGCCTCCTAAACGGTGTATATTGCATGGATGAGATGGGGGGGGGGGGGGGGGGGGGGAGACATTATACATCCTGCTGTCCGTTAACAATCAAACAATCATTTGGTTGGTTGAATATACATTCTGTAGTCCTTTAACAGTTATTTGGCTGAAACGTATGCTATTAATACCATGTCACTGTTTTCGTGTTCAGTGCTGACCTCTTGTCATTTTGAGATTAAGATTTTTACCGTATTTTAAACATTTTAATCTGATCATTGACCAGAACCAAGGCGTGCTGTGAACTGTTGTGAAGGCAAACTCCTTGTGTTTTGCGCCCTTATATGGTCTTATGCAGCTGCGAGCGCGGTAAAACTCTTACTAACCAAAGCAAACTTGTCCTTGACCCCCCCAGTGACCGTGACCTGAGGCTTCTCCTAGCTCACTGCATCAAGGGCGTCCAGCACGAGAGTCTGGACGTACGGGAACACGCTCTCTCCAAGCTCCGGAACATTCTCAGGGACAAGCAGGTCGTTCAGTCGTTCTAGTGTACTTCAACAACTCAGCTCTTAGAAAGATTTAGACTGGCATTGATGGTGTTACTTTTAGTAGTTGGACTGACATCTTCAAGTTATATCAAAGAAAAATTTAGCAGGGTTTTTTGGGGGGGAGGTGTTGCAAGATTTTTATTAGCTGTAAATGAAAAGGCAGATGTGACAAGTGGGGCTTTACCTTACCATCACAAGCAGAAGACATGAGTTCGATTCAAAGTGGGGAGAATTTTTATAAAGTATTTCCATCTTTTACTGGGACATTGTATCCCATTCAGCCCAGGTTGGCAGGATTCGAAGCAGCCTGTCTCCTGAATGATCTACATTCAAACATTTGCCATTGAAAAAAAAAAAAAAATTAGTTGTTTTTTTAACTAGATTTTCATTTGTTGTAAATGAAAAGGCAAATGTGACAGGGGTGATTTACATACAATTGAACTGTTTTTGTCAAAAATTTGTTTCTCCTGATATCGAAAAGGACTGATCTAGATTGTGTCACCTGAGGTATAAAAGATTAATACTCAGAATATTCTCAAATTCGAAAAATTGGTGTTTTTAATGAGACAAGGAGATGTTCTCGTAACACATTGTTTCTTTGGGATTTTTTGTTTTTTCAGATGGAGATCAAGAACTACTTATTGAACAACGAACAAGCAGAGCCTGTCATTTCTCACTTGGTTTCAGCGGTGAGCGCGATGTTTAATGGTCGACGAGATTTGTTTAAAAGATAGCCTCATGACAATTTTTATTCATGAATTCTGTATTTTCTATTAATACAGGTTATTTTCTTGTTGTATGAGAAATATTCTGCTTTTGCGGAAGGTACTTATGAAACAGAATTGTTTAGAATTTACCTGTGTGATCCTGAGGAGAAGGGGGGGGGGGACTTTGGACATTGTGCTGTTTATAAAAATGTTGGGAAGACTGATAAAGAGGAACAGTGCGTAATGTATCGTTTCTACTGCATGGATTTTGGCCATATTGCATGAGGTTCTGGAATGTACCACCCATGATATTTTAGGGAATTCTGTACTTACTTTTTGAGATGTTGTTCAACACATGCTCGTACAGTTGGTGTACTGACGTCCGTGGTTCAGCAGTTGAGGTTTTCACCATTGTATTCAAAAGAAGTTAGTTCGATTCTCACATGGGAAAACTATTTTTTCAAGTAACTCCTTCTGTCTGCTGGGATGTTGTTGTGCAAGGTGTGAAAAATATGTTCAATCATTAGGAATACAGTTGCACCTCCTATTTTAACTGTCACCTGTCAAAGAAAATTACCTGTACAAACAACCACTTCTAACTCGCCCCCTTGCATTTAAAGAAATATTATTATGACACTGACCAAGATGTCCACCTGTCTAAAACAACCACTTTTCTCCTTGACAATGGATGGGCCGTTTTGGACAATTTTGAAAGTATTTTACAATCTCAGATGGTTTTATTATCTTCTTTTTCTTGCGTCACAGCTTCTGAACGGGTGCAGAGACTCGGACTCCCGGACACAGATCCTCTATGGTCATTGTTTGGGGGAGCTGGGAGCCATTGATCCTGGAAGGTACTCTTTTATTTAATGGCTGTGTGTCCTTCATCTGCTAGCGAAGTTTTTTTTTTCTACTTTCCATACGTTGAGAACATTAGGTCTTTCCTATCAAACACTTATCATCAAATATCATCCTTATCTCTCTTTCTTTATTGTGTTTTGTTACTCTCTTGTTTTGCTCCTTCTTTCCTATCGAACATCTATCGTACTTTTCTCCTCTTCTTCTTTTTTATGTTTGTTACTCTCATGTAACACCTCTAATCTTCTGGTGCTCATATGACCTTATGCAGCTGCGAGCGCCGAAAAACCTCTACTAAAACTAAACATCTTTAGTTTCACATTTTATCTTCTGCATTTATATGACCTATTTGTGTTGCAAGTGCTGTAAAACTCTTATTAAAACTAAAACTAAATCAACATATTGAGAATAGTAAGTGTTGTCTGACCACAAGAGCTTTGCTGTATTGGGTACAAATATTTTGTCTAGTTACAAACTTGTATTCTTTTCTGTCACTTTTTGTCTATGGTCTTTCTGTCTCTGCTCCCCAGACTAGAACTCATCACCAACAAACCCAGCGTGAAGCTGGCCGACTTCCACGCCAGTATTGACGAGGACAAGTTTGCCTTCAGCCTCATCAACATCGTGGTCAAAGCCTTTCTGGCAGCGACCGAGCCTAGAGTACAGGTAAGATGATTTCATTTCACTGAGATTCCTTTACTCTTTCTGTCTCTCGCCTTTTCAAATTTTTGCCTTAAGGTTTTTGCAAAGTGTGGCTGTTCGAAAAAATGACCACTATTGTAATAACTCTTTACTGTCATTATTTTTTCCCCAGTTTTTTAAAATTAATTCTCAGATGTGCTCAGATTTTGAAGGGGAACATTTTCTAATTACACAAAACACAGAGTAGCAATTTTGACCCAATGTCTTATAGAGGTGCTGATTTTCTGTACAAAGCTGAAAGTCAGGATTTTGAAATATACTCCTTGTTTATAAATATATGTTTGTAATTTTTTCTCTTTTTTGTATGTCATATAAAAAAAAGTCTTGACACAAGATTAATAAGACAATGTAAACCATAATTTTTGAGTCCCTGCGGGCACATATCAATGTGGTTCAAAAAGTTCCTGATTTTTTTTCATAGCCAGTTGCCACCTCTTCTTAATTTATTTTATGAATTATTTTATAACGTAGGTTAAGAGAGCAACTCTGAAGCTTTATATTTGTCTCTTTTCCTTCCCAGGACTGTGCTGCTCTGGCCCTGCAGGAGTTACTTCAGATCTACGGCATCAGCGAGTCAGGAAGCACTCAGGGGGTTAGCCCACACAGCAGACTGTGGAAGATGTTTCCGGAACAGACACAGGAGATACTCATCCCTCTGTTCAGCTCCAAGTAAATAATAATGACTAATAGTATTTATATAGCGCATATTCCCGCCCTATAGCGAGCTCTGTGTTTTGAATCCTCAAAAACATTCTTGGCTTCCCGGGAAGCATACTTCGCTAGCAGCCAGTTAGGCACTCAAACTCAAAGCAAGTTACAATATCTTTTGCTGTCCTCAGCTGAGTATCCTTTCCCGTGTGGATGAAGTGAAGAAAATTCATGTAAAGTGCCCTTCGTCAGTTCGTAATTTAAGACCCCTTATGGGTCAATGGCTGAGAAATTGTTGCTCTCCACATAAAAAGTCTTGATATGAGACGTATTAGTCAAAATGATCAGTAAATCTTTAGTCGTTTCCACAGGTCCTAAAAGTTGAGGATTTTTTTTTTTCATTGCCAGTTAGCACCTCTGTTAATGTCCATCTCCACATCACGAGTACAGCCTTGAAATCTTTCTAAACAACTTGAGTTCCAGAGTGCCACTTAGCCCAGTATGATGCCAATTGAGCCAGCCAAGCAGCCAAGGATATTTTCGATAAAATCATTATTCTAAAGAAGTATTTGTCCATCATCCTTAAAGAAAGCTGCAAATTGCATAAGTCGCTGAATAATGACTGAAAGCTAGAATTTGACCAGTCAGACCAAATTTGAACATGGAAAGAGTGCCTTTTCAACGCCCGCCCGCATATATGTGCTAGAACATTACAAAGGAGACAATCACAATCACCTCGTTTTGATGGGAAACACTGCCACACCCAGCTTGTTCTCCTGAGGTGGCAGGCACTTTTTGACTTTCACCTTTCCTATCATATGAAAGAAGCACTGAGAGGCCAGCACTATAGCAATAATGAAGAAATAAAGGCTGCTTTGAAAACTCGGCTAAAAGACGAACCTGCTCACTTCTAAGAAGCTGGCATATGTAAACTTATGAATAGGTAGACAGTTGCTATTGAACAAAATGGAGACTATGCTGAGAAATAGAAATCTGATACTCAGTTATTTCCTTTCAATTTTAGGTATGATAGCTGCAATTGCTTTTTTACTCTCTTAGTTAGAAATGATTTTGCTTTACTTTTTTACTCCCCTTGTAGAAATTTTATGGTAAATCCATTGAGACATTTCCAAGTTTTGTTCACTTATGTTTGGTGAAAGAATCTGATTTATATTGTAATAATTTTTTCTATCACACGGAGTGAAGCAACAACTTTTTACTATTGTGTATGTGGTTTGAAACTCATTGAGCCTGAAATTTTTGTCAGAAAAGGCTATGAGATATTTGTGAATCTTAATCAAACATTTGTCTTTTTTCTTTGACAGATACCGACTTACAGTTGATACGGATTATGCAAATTACCCAAAGCCACTATATGGGAGTGAGAGAGGAAAAAATTTCAAGGACTGGGTCTCGAACTGGACAGGATACTTAAGTTCCAAGGTAGCCACTGGTTTGAAGTTCGTATTTTGTGTCATAATCATAAATCGGCTGGAATTATAAGATAGTCAATAATTTAAAAAGGATGAGCTTGGGAAATGATACCAAACGATGAAAAGTCTCATATAAACAACTTTTCAAATATTTTATCTTGTAATAGATAATAATTATATTAGTTTTATTCTCCAGAAACCTGCATGTCTCTGTTGATCTCGTCTGTTGTCTGTGGCTTTCTAACACTTTTTTTCTTAAATAGCTTTGACTTTTTTTCAGTGTCCTGCTTGTCATATAAGATAGTATACTATATTGATAAACCAGACCAGGTGAAATGTTCATATGTAGAATTTTCTGCGTGGTTGAATTCAGGCAGTTTTTCTACTTGATTTTCTGTAGGGATGAAACTAGACAAAATTTGGGGGGGGGTATAATTTGTAGTATAAGTAGACCCGATGACATTTTAATGTATTGTATTCTTTATATTTAAAACTGAGATTTTATTTATGATATTCTGCACAGGTAAAACCAGGTGAGATTTTGTTATTGATATTATGCACAGGTAAAACCAGATGAGATTTTAACGTATGACATTCTGCACAGGTAAAACCGGGCAAGGCGAGACAGGTGTTCACTGCGTGTAGTGCCACCAAACGTCACAGCATGCAAGTGGCTCTACATGTGTTGCCTCATGTGGTCCTGCAAGTGTTACTGGACGGCTCAACTACTCACGTCAAACAGGTGAGGTTTTCTCTGACACGTTCAGTCTGGAGATTTATTTGTCATAAAAATAATGGAAAGAGCAGTTATGGAAGCGTTTTTCTGTTCAGCAGCCTCTGATATTTGAATAGGAAAAAAAAATAGTTTATAATGAAATAGTAATATTATTAATAATAGCAGTTTGTCTGTCTATGTCTGACAATGGCGAATGCATCTTCAGAGGAGAATTTATTTCTGAAAAGGAAATAAAAGAAATAAAGATTAAGATATTTGTGGCTTCTGCTATGGCCACTGAGACCAATTCCTGCAGAGAAGAGTTTGCCACATTCTGAGAGTTTAAAAGCTTCATTTTTACTTGTGGATATACACAGCTTGTGGGCTTCTCTCTTGACTTCAACATTTCCAGAAGCCTAGACTAAAGGAACAGTGTGTGGTTGGGCGTATGCTCTGGTGTGGCTTGTTCCTTATTTCCTGTCAAACATCCATTGTCCTTACCTCTCCTCCTTTCTTTGTGTATGTTACTCTCTTGTAACACATCTAATCTTTGACACTTATATGACCTAATTGTTTTGCAAGTGCTGTAAAACTCTTACTAAACCTTGACAAAAAGAACAATCGGTGAGGTGATTTCCTTAATCCTTTGTCCTCAGATGTTTGAGGAGCTGATGGAGGTTCTGAACTACATGCAGAAGCCTGAGACCAGGCTTGAGAGCGCCTCCAACTTCCACCACCTGAGTGCCCAGACGGTCTTCTCTATCCTGGACTATCTGACCATGTGGTGCAACCACCGGGCACAGAGCCTGGCTGCTACAACGACAGCTGCTGCCGCTGCCAAAGGTGAGGGGGATGTTTTGTTTTACACACAGTCTGGTTCAAAGTTAGGGGGATGTTTTGTTTTACACGTAGTCAGGCCGGTTCACGGTTAAGGGGATGTTTTTATTTTACACACAGTCAGGCCGGTTTAAAGTTAGGGGAATGTTTTGTTTTACATACAGTCTGACTAGTTCAAAATTAGTGGGAAGTTTTGTTCTACACATAGTCTGGTACAAAGTTTGGGGGGGGGTTGTTTTACACATTTTACACACAGTCTTGTTGCAAAAGAGAAGGAGGAGGGTTTTTTTTTACACCATCTCGGTCAAAATTGGGGAGGGGTTTGTTTACCCGATGCACGCCGTATCGTGTAAAGGGATGTTTTTTTTTCACCCCCACCAGGGCGCGTTAAATGTGGGAGAATGTTTTTTTCTCACACTCTGAGAGTTCCAAAAAAGGGGAGTTGTTCCCCACATTTCGGTCAAATATGAGGGTGGAGGCGTGTTTTACACTCAAAGCTAGGGGGACATTTTTGTTTTACACACAGTCTTGTTGGTTCAAAGGTGAGGGGGATGTTTTGTTTTACTCACAGTCTTGTTGGTTCAAAGGTGAGGAGGATGTTTTGTTTTCATAAAGTCTGGCTGGTACAATGGCTGCTTCCACTGCCACTTAAGATTTGTGGGATGTTTTGTTTTACACTGTGGTAGAGGGAGGGTGTTTATTTAATCTTGGTGAGATGGGGGGGGGGGGGGCAATTTTCTGTTCTTTGTGAAATACGGCCGATAATGTACGCTGCCTGACAGTTGACTATAGCTCAGCATCTGTCAAGTGACATTATGGTATTTCTTCTTTCTGACATGTTTTCTAGGTTACTTTTGTCTTTTTTCTTTCTTCGTCTTGACACACTTTTATGTGACCTTTGGTCATTTCTTCATTTTTCAAAAATTTTCCAGGCATTAATTACGAGAAAGACGCGGGGTACCAGGCTGTG